AAAGCCTCTCTCTGATTTGAGTGTGCTTGAGGTGGCACAGTGTGCTTTCCTTTCTAACCCACACTGCAAACAAACCCTGACAGATCTGTTCCCCTTTTTCACTTTTGCTCTTGCTCAATCCTTCTAATTATGAGAAAACGCTCTGCACAAATATATTAGAGCTTCTCTGTGTGCTCAGCTGCAGCGGCCTGCTAAGAGAAAAAAACTGATCAGAAATAAACGCTAACAGGAGATCAACGCGTCGGCGACGGGAAAAGTCAAAGACGTTCCGTTTGAACGGCTAACGGCTTCTTAACAGCTTCGTCAAATCAGGCAGTCGACGCGTCGGCGAGAGGGACGGAGGACCATCACCGTAAGGACAGGAGTGTTGGGCGAAACATCTGCTCCCATGCTCAACGGCTCCACAGAAATAAACGGACAAACAGAAGAGGCGGGAGGTGAAACAGTCAGATTTTCCATTTTAAAGCTTTTGTTTGTTTTTCCTCATTTCCCTCCTTACAGCACGCACAGGACCGATCAAGTTCAGGAAATAAACTACAGGTAGTAAACTACATGTAGTAAACTACAGGAAGTAAACTACAGGAAGTAAACTACAGGAAGTAAACTACAGGAATTACGTTTCCTGTTAAAATGCAGCATGAGGTCCAGGCGCTGAAATACTCTGCTAAAGAAGCCGAAACTGAAATGTTAAAGCTAAAGGAAGCAACTAAAAACTAAARACAAATAATTAAATAATAAAGGAATAATTAAAAACTATACAGAACAAAACATGAGCTAAAAGAGCACAACACTAGCTAAATGCTAAAGAAGAAAAAGGTGAGTTGAAAACTTAAAGTTGCACAATCATAGCTAAATGGCTAATGTAGCAAAAACTAGCTAAAAGTATCAAAAAACTTGACATAAGCAGATGTAGCAAAAAGTTTAATAGAAGCAAAAAGGAGCAAAACATTAACTTAGGAAAAAATGCTAAAAAAAATTAAAAACTAGCAAACAGTAGCTGAAAGTTAAAAGTAGCAAAAGGCTGGTTAAAAATGTTAAATATAGCAAAAAGTCATCTAAATGTATCAAAATACTGTACTTCCTAAAATTAGCAAAAAGCTAGACAAAGTAGCTAAACACAAAATGCAGCCAAAGATTTTATCTGAGTAATAAAAGAAGCAAGGTAGCAGCTAAAGTAGCAAAAGGCAAAGTAGAAGCTAAATGTAAAAATCTGGAAAAGCCAACAAAAAGTATCAAAAACTAGCTAAAAGAAACAAAATTACATCTATGAGTAGCAAAAAGCTAGCTAAGTAAAAGTTAAAAGTAGCTGACTGGCTAAAATTATCAAAAGTACAGCTAAAAACCACAAGTATCAACAGACTATCCGGATGCTAAAAGTAGCAAAGAGCTGGCTAAAAGCTAAAAATAGCAAAAGTAGAAAAATGTTAGCAAAATGCCAAAGTACCTGCAAACAAGCTAAAATTATCAAAAGGCAGCATAAAAGCAACAAAATCTTTCTAAAAGTAGCAAA